TTCCTAGCCTTTTCACTTATGATCGCTTGAGAGATGCTATCAACTGCTATCTGTTTTTCGTTTATCCACACCAATAACAGTCTCTCAACATCTTCTATCACTTGCGATCTCTGTTTCGAAAGCACAGTTAAACCTTTGGCAAGAACAGCTTCCTTGATTGCTGTTCTCTTGGACACAATAGAAGCGATGGTTGATTGGGGTTTACTATACAACCTGGTCAGCTCGGAGACACGCACTCCACTTTCATACTTAGCAATGATCTCTTTCTTCATCTCCATAGTAATTCTCACCCTTATTCCTGTAGGGTTGGCACTAGAAGCTTTCTTGGGGCCCATGGTCACTTATTTTTCAGGTGAAATCACTATAAAAAGGCTGTAATAATACGAAATGTTCCGATTGTATGCTTGAATGTTACCACGGAGGCTGGCTTGTAAACAATGCCACTGGCAGAACAAGTGAGGCTGGCTCAGGCCGCATGGACGTGTCTTGGACGAATCGCGTTGAGCGAATTTTTTAGCACTATCGAGGCAAAATTTTAGCGATAAAATATATTGCTATGCAGATTTAACACTATGCGATGCCAACGTTATGTGGGGGTCCACTGTATTGGCTCAGTTAACAACAAAGAAATCGGTTAAAGTCATTCATCCCGAACATGACTGCGCGGCCTGAGTGGCTCTGCCACTCCATGTACAGCCAGTGTGCCATTATTTACAAGCCAGTGAGGATGATTCCACATGTACAGGCGATACATTTTGTATTATTCCATTGTTTTTAGTGCTTGTAACTGCTAAATACCTCCAGGGGGAAGTGGAACAGAATTCTTCCTCCGTAAGCCATGTGTGTTGTAAGAGGCGACTAAAATGCCGGGAGCAAGGGGCTAGTAACCCCTTCTCCTGTATATATTACTAAATGTAAAAGGAGAAACTTTCGTTTTTCCTTTTGGGCCACCCTGCCTCGGTGGGATACAGCCGGTGTGTTGAAAGAAAGAACTGCTAAATAAGCCACCATGGACCCAAAGAAAGCTTCTAGTGCCAGCCCTGTGGTAAAGAGGGTGAGAAATACTAATGAATTCAAGAAAGAGATCATTGCAAAATATGAAAGTGGAGTGCATGTCTCCGAGCTGGCCAGGTTGTATAACAAACTCCATACAACCATCGCTACTATTTTGGACAACAAAAAAGCAATCAAGAAAGCTGTTGTTACGAAAGGTGCAAATGTGCTTACAAAACAGAGATCGTAAATACTCGATGTTGAGAGACTGTCGATGGTGTGGATCAAACAGAAACAATTATCAGGAGCTAGTGTTTCACTGTCAACTATATGTGACAAGGCAAGGCAGCTGCATGATGATCTAATTAAGAAAATGCCTGGAACTAGTGCTCATATTGGTGAATTTAAGGCCAGCAAAGGTTGGTTTGAGAGATTTAAGAATCAAAGTGGCATACACAGTGTGATAAGGCATGGTGAGGCTGCCAGTTCTGACAAAAAAGCGGCTGAAAAATATGTGCAGGAATTTAAGGGGTACATAGAGACTGAACAATTAAAACCCCAACAAGTGTTCAATTGTGATAAAACAAGCCTGTTTTGGAAGAAAATGGCAAACAAGATCTACATTACTCAGGAGGAAAAGGCATTCCCAGGACACAAGCCTATGAAAGACAGGCTAACTCTCATGTTTTGTAGTAATGCTAGTGAACATTGCAAAGTGAAGTCTTTACTCGTGTATCACTCTGAAACCTCCCAGAATAACTGTCGTCAAGCCTAAACTGTGTGTGATGTGGAGGGCAAACAGTAAGGCATGGCTCACTAGGGACATTTTCCTCGATTGGTTCTATGATGTGTTTGGCCCCAGTGTGAAAAAATACCTCCTAGAAAATGAATTGCCACTCCAGTGCTTCTGGTTAATGGACAATGCTCCTGTTCATCCTCCAGACTTGGAAGAGTGAATTGTGGGGGAGTTTAGTTTAATCAAAGTTAAATTTTTGCCCCCTAACACCACTCCTCTCCTCCAGTCCATAGACCAGCAGGTCATTTCAATTTTAAAAAAACTGTACACCAAAGCAGTGTTTCAAAAGTGATTTGAAGTGACCTCAGACACTGAATTGACCCTAAGAAAGTTCTGGAAAGATCACTTCAGTATCCTCAGTTGCATAAACCTTATAGATAAGGCTTGGGAGGAAGCAACTTGCAGGACTTTGAACTCTGCTTGGAGAAAATTGTGGCCAGAATGTGTACAAGAGGGGGATTTTGAAGGGTTTGGGGATAACCTTGAGGAGCCTATGCCAGCTGTGGAATCTATTGTGGCAATGGGAAAGTCCACTGGGTTGGAGGTTAGTGGTGAGGATGTGGAAGAGTTGGTGGAGGACGACGATGAAGAGCTAACCACTACAGAGCTGCAAGAGCTTGAGGTGCAACAGCAACAGACCACAGCTCAGGAATTTCCTTCAGAGGAGGGGGAAGAGAGATGGAGGAAGTTGCCTTCTTCAACGATTAAGGACATTTGTACAATCTGGACAAAGGTGCAAGCCTTTATGGATGAACATCACCCTGACACAGCTGTTGCAAGCCATGCTGGCAACATCTACAATGACAATGTTGTGTCCCATTTTAGGGAAATCTTAAAGACACGCCAGAAACAGAGCTCTCTGGACAGACTTTTGGTGCAACAGGGATCCAGCGACTCTCAAGCTGGTCCTAGTGGCATTAAAAAACAAAGAAGGGAATTAACCCCTGAAAAGGACTTGCTACCTGAAGTCTTTATGAAAAGGGATTCCCCTTCCAAACACTAATACACCTCCATCCTCTCCCCTCCTCCCGTCTCATCACTCATCAATAAGTCTTCAATAAAGGCAAGTCATTTTATAAAGTATTGTTTATTCTGCATGTCTCATTGTTTTCTGTGTACGAAAATGTATATTTCATGTGAAAAAATTATTTTGTTTAATACTTTTGGGTGTCTGGAACGGATTAATTGGATTTCCATTATTTCTTAAGGGAAAAATTAATTCGGATAACGACAGAATCGGTTAAAGACAAGCTCTCTGGAACGGATTAATGTCGTTAACTAAGGGTTCACTGTAACTACAAATAGATTAAAAATTATTAGGAAATCAACTTCATTCTCCCAAGTAATTTATTTTTTTATTATATTGGCCATCTTCCACCAAGACAAAGATACTCAAGGTAGGAAACCCATTACACATCATTTATTCATTTGCTGTCTTGCCAGAATTGCAAGTTCATTACAATTCTAGAATATATGAGCATAAGAATGAAGGAAATCCATGGGGAAGTGGAACAGAATTCTTTCTACATAAGCCATGTGTGTAGTAAGGGGTGACTAAAATGCCGGGAGCAAGGGGCTAGTAACCCCTTCTCCTGTATACATTACTAAATTTAAACAGGAACACTGCAGTAGGCCTATTGACCCATGCTAGGAAAAGTCAATTCACAGCCACTCGTGTACTCTCCAAGAGGTTACTACCCTCTTGCTCCTGGCATTTTAGTCACCTCTTATGACACGCATGGCTTGTGGGGGAAGGGTTCTTCTCCAATTTCCCTATGGAGAAGATCCGTATTGTTTAGTTCATATATGTGTTAGGTAAGACACATATGCAACAGTTAGGTATCTTTATTTCGAAACGTTTCGCCTACACAGTAGGCTTCTTCAGTCGAGTACAGAAAAGTTGATAGAAGCAGAAGAGACTTGAAGACGATGTAATCAGTCCATCACCCTTAAAGTTTTGAGGTGGTCAGTCCCTCAGTCTGGAGAAGAGCATTGTTCCAAAGTCTGAAACAATATGGAGTTGAAGTAACAGGATGGAGCCTTATACGTATAGTGCCAGGAGGTGAAACGTAGGTCACTAGTAGAACACAGATGTTGGGAGGTCAGGTCCCTCTCAAATCCAGCCGTTCACACTAGTAGAGGTAGTCGAAGTTGATTTCAGGTCTGTACCAAGATACCCTTGTGTTGCAGTGTCTGACAGATTGAACATTAAAATGGTATAAAATACCGACAGATTGTTAGGTAAGACACATATGCAACAGTTAGGTATCTTTATTTTGCCTACTGTGTAGGCGAAACGTTTCGAAATAAAGATACCTAACTGTTGCATGTGTCTTACCTAACAATCTGTCGGTATTTTATACCATTTTAATGTTCAATCTGTCAGACACTGCAACACAAGGGTATCTTGGTACAGACCTGAAATCAACTTCGACTACCTCTACTAGTGTGAACGGCTGGATTTGAGAGGGACCTGACCTCCCAACATCTGCGTTCTACTAGTGACCTACGTCTCACCTCCTGGCGCTATATAAGGCTCCATCCTGTCACTTCAACTCCATATTGTTTCAAACTTTGGAACAATGCTCTTCTCCAGACTGAGGGACTGACCACCTCAAAACTTTAAGGGTGATGGACTGATTACATCGTCTTCAAGTCTCTTCTGCTTCTATCAACTTTTCTGTACTCGACTGAAGAAGCCTACTGTGTAGGCGAAACGTTTCGAAATAAAGATACCTAACTGTTGCATATGTGTCTTACCTAACAATCTGTCGGTATTTTATACCATTTTAATGTTCAGTTCATATATATAAAGTGCCACAGCTATTTTCCTCTTCTAGGATTAAAACTTCACACTTGTTTGCATTAAGCTGCATCTGCCAGTTTGCTGACCAAAACATCAACTTATCCAGGTCATCCTGCAGCCTTCTAGTGTGCTATACATAAGAAATTATTTGAAAGCCTATTTTAGTTTCACTGGCAAATTTACTTGTGTCACTATTTATTCTCTCATCAATGTCCTTTATGAAGATTGTGAACAACAAGGGTCTTTCAGAGTACAGGCACTGTACTCTGCTTCCAGAACTCAAGTTTGGCTAACCATCTGACCTGAATCCCTTCATGAATGTTAATTTGTTCACACTCAAAATACATCAACCAGGATAACATTTTCTATCTATAAATTTTCAAGTGATGTTGACATGTTACTTACCTTGAGAGCTCTGCTGTCTTGTATAAAGCTTAATCGCTTTCCACTACTTTCATTTCCTTCACGAACCAATTCAAATTTCCAAAACTTAACCATCTTGTCACTGCCACCAGTTATAAAGCCACGCTGAAAAATAAGATAAAAACTGACTTAGTCTAAGTTTAATGTTTATATACACTTTTAGAGTAAAAACCTATTTCCAAATAATGTTGGGTGTCTGAACAAAGTAAATATATTCTAAATACAGTGGACCCTCCCTTTTCGACGATCTCCGTTATCGCTGATTTCTGTTTTTTGCCGACTTTTTTCATCAAAATACTGGTTCCATTATCGTCGATTTCCTCCGTTGTCAATGGTACGGAACCTATCCAGTGCCCAGTGCACACACAAAGCTGCCTCCCACATGCATTCTCAGGCAGTGTCGTGTTGTTTCTCGGTGAGTGAACATATCCTGCGAAGTCATACGAAACATTTCATAATAATCCATTGTTTTTGGCACTTGTTTATTGTGTGTGCCTGCTAAATAAGCCCCCATGGGCCCAAAGAAAGCTTCTAGTGCCAGCCCTTTGGTAAAGAATGTGAGAAACACGATAGAATTCGAGAAAAAGTTTGTAGAAAAATACGAAAGTGGTGGTGGTAGAGGGTGATAGTGATGGTGGTAGAGGGTGGTAGTGATGATGGTAGAGGGTGGCAGTGATGGTGGTAGAGGGTGGTAGTGGTTGTGATGGTGGTAGAGGGTGGTAGTGATGGTGGTACAGGGGGGTAGAGATTGTGGTAGTGATGTGGTAAGGATGGTAGTGATGGTGGTAGAGGGTGGTAGTGATGGTGGTAGAGGGTGGCAGTGATGGTGGTAGAGGGTGGTAGTGATGGTGGTAGAGGGTGGTAGTGATGGTGGTAGAGGGTGGTAGTGATGGGGTAGAGGGTGGTAGTGGTTGTGATGGAGGTAGAGGGTGGTAGTGGTTGTGATGGTGGTAGTGATGGTGGTACAGGGTGGTAGAGATTGTGGTAGTGATGGTGGTAGAGATTGTGGTAGTGATGGTGGTAAAGGATGGTAGTGATGGTGGTAGAGGGTGGTAGTGATGGTGGTAGAGGGTGGTAGTGGTTGTGATGGAGATTTGTGCAATGTGGAGTTGAATGGAAAGATTTGTGGCATTAAAAAAAAAAGAAGGGCAGTGACCCCGGTTAAGGACTTGGGATTTCCCTTCCAAAGACTAACCTCTCTTCCCTCTCCCCTCCTCCCTGTCTTCCATCCACCAACAACAGCCTTCAATAAAGGTAAGTGTCATGTTGAATGTTCATTCTTTTATTTATGTTTTTTATTAACACATCGGCTGATTCCCACCAAGGCAGGGTGGCCCATAAAAGAAAAACTTTCATCATCATTCACTCCATCACTGGCTTGCCAGAGGGGTGCTTTACACTACAGTTATAAAACTGCAACATTAACACCCCTCCTTCAGAGTGTAGACACTGTACTTCCCATCTCCAGGACTCAAGACCGGTCTGCCGGTTTCCCTGAATCCCTTCATAAATGTCACTTTCCTCACACTCCAACAGCACGTCAAGTATTAAAAACCATTTGTCTCCATTCACTCCTATCAAATACGCTCATGCATGCTTGCTGGAAGTCCAAGCCCCTCGCACACAAAACCTCCTTTAACCCCTCTCCCCAACCCTTCCTAGGCCAACCCTTCCTAGGCCAACCCCTACCCCGCCTTCCCTCCACTACAGATTTATACACTCTCAAAGTCATCCTGTTTTGTTCTATTCTCTCTACATGTCCGAACCACCTCAAAAACCCCTCCTCAGCCCTCTGGATAATAGTTTTGGTAATCCCACACCTTCTCCTAATTTCCGAACTACGAATTCTCTGCATTATATTCACACCACACACTGCCCTCAGACATGACATCTCCACTGCCTCCAGCCTTCTCCTCGTTGCAACATTCATCACCTATGCTTCACACCCATACAAGAGTGTTGGTACAACTATACTCTCATACATTCCCCTTGTTGCTTCCACGGACAGAGGTCTTTGTCTCCAGACTCCCAAGCGCACCTCTTACCCTTTTCCCCTCATCAATTCTGTGATTCACCTCATCCTTCACAGACCCCATGTGCTGACACGTCCACTCCTTAACACAGTGGACCCTCAACCAACGATATTAATCCGTTCCCGAGAGCTCATCGTTAGTCAAAATTATCGTTAGTCGAGTTAATTTTCCCCAAAAGAAATAATGGAAATCAAATTGATCCGTTCCTGACACCCCAAAGTATTGAAAAAAAAAATTTTACCACATGAAATATTAATTTTAATACACACAAACTGAAGAAGACATGTACAATTACATGACACTTACCTTTATTGAAGATCTGGTGATGATTGATGGGATGGGAGGAGGGAAGAGTGTGGATGGTGTTAGTGTTTAGAAGGGGAATCCCCTTCCATTAGGACTTGAGGTGTCAAGTCCTTTTCCGAGGTTACTTCCCTTCTTCTTTTAATGCCACTAGGACCAGCTTGAGAGTCACTGGACCTCTGTCGCACAACAAATCTGTCCATAGAGGTCTGTACCTCCCGTTCCTTTAAGATTTGTCTAAAATGGGCCATAACATTGTCATTGTAATAGTCACCAGCACGGCTTGCAGTAGCTGTGTTAGGGTGATTTTCATCCATAAAGGTTTGCAGTTCAACCCACTTTGCACACATTTCCTTAATCTTTGAAGTAGGCACAATGGATACCACAACTGGCATAGGCGTCTCAGGGTTTGCCCCAAACTCTTCAAAATCTTTCTTAATTTCCATACTAATTCTCACCCTTTTTATCACAGGGTTGGCACTAAAAGCTTTCTTGGGGACCATGGTGACTTATTTTGCAGGTGCAATCACTAAAAACGCTGTGATGATATGAAATGTTCCGATTGTATGTTTGGATGCGACCGCGGTGGCTGGCTTGTAAACACTGGCACCCACGGGGCAAGTGAGGTGCGCTCAGGCCACACGTGGACGCGTCTCGAACAGAACGAATCGCGTTGGTCGAGTTTTTTAGCGTTAGTCGAAGCAAAATTTTTGCGTTAAAATGTATCGCTAGTCGGGTTTAATGTTATACGATGCCATCGTTGGTCGAGGGTCCACTGTATCTGAATACATTCACCTCCTCCATACTCTCTCCCTCCAATCTGATATCCAGTCTTTCGTCACCTAATCTTTTTGTTATCCTCATAACCTTACTCTTTCCTATATTCACTTTAATTTTCTTCTTTTACATACCCTACCAAATTCATCCACCAACCTCTGCAACTTCTCTTCAGAATCTCCCAAAATCACTGTGTCATCAGCAAAAAGCAACTGTGACAACTCCCACTTTGTGTTTGATTCTTTATCTTTTAACTCCACACCTCTTGCCAAGACCCTACCATTCACTTTTCTTACAACCCCATCTATAAATATATTGAACAACTATGGTGACATCACACATCCTTGTCTAAGGCCTACTTTTACTGTGAAATAACCTCCCTCTCTCCTACATACTCTAACCTGAGCCTCACTATCCTCGTAAAAACTCTTCACTGCTTTCAGTAGCCTACCTCCTATACCATACACCTGCAACATCTGCCACATTGCCCCCTATCCATCCAGTCACATGCCTTTTCTAAATCCATAAATGCCACAAAAACCTCTTTACCCTTATCTAAATACTGTTCACCTATATGTTTCACTGTAAACACTTGGTCTACACACCCCCTACCTTTCCTAAAGCCTCCTTGTTCATCTGCTATCCAACTCCCTGTCTTACTCTTAATTCTTTCAATAATAACTACCATACACTTTACCAGGTATACTCAACAGACTTATTCCCCTATAGTTTTTGCACTCTCTTTTATCCCCTTTGCCTTTATACAAAGGAACTATGCATGCTCTCTGCCAATCCCTAGGTACATTACTCTTTTCTATACATTTATTAAATGATAGCACCAACCACTCCAAAACTATATCCCCTCCTGCTTTTAACATTTCTATCTTTATCCCATCAATCCCAGCTGCCTTACCCCCTTTCATTCTGCCCACTGCCTCACGAACCTCCCCCACACTCACAACTGGCTCTTCCTCACTCCTACAAGATGTTATTCCTCCTTGTCCTATACACGAAATCATAGCTTCCCTACCTTCATCAACATTTAACAATTCCTCAAAATATTCCCTCCATCTTCCCGATACATCTAACTCTTCATTTAATAACTCTCCTCTCCTATATTTAACTGTCAAATCCATTTGTTCCCTAGGCTTCCTCAACTTATTAATCTCACTCCAAAGCTTTTTCTTATTTTCAACAAAATTTGTTGATAACATCTCACCCACTCTCTCATTTGCTCTCTTTTTACATTGCTTCACCACTCTCTTAGCCTCTCTTTTTCTCTCCATATACTCTTCCCTCCTTGTATCACTTCTACTTTGTAAAAACCTCTCATATGCTAACTTTTTCTCCCTTACTACTCTCTTTACATTGTCATTCCACCAATCACTCTTCTTCCCTCCTGCACCCACTTTCCTGTAACCACAAACTTCTGCTGAACACTAACACTACATTCTTAAACCTACCCCACACATCTTCGACCCCATTGCCTATACTCTCACTAGCCCATCTATCCTCCAATAGTTGTTTATATCTTACCCTAACTGCCTCCTCATTTAGTTTATACACTTTCACCTCTCTCTTACTTGCTGCTTCTATTTTCCTTGTATCCCATGTACCTTTTACTTTCACTCGTTCTTTTGTGCTAGTAAATCGATCTTTAAGGTAAAAAAAATATTTTTTGTTAATACTTCTGGGTATCTGGAACGGATTAATTAGAGTTACATTATTTCTTATGGGGAAAGTGGTTTTAGTTTTTGCCGATTTCCGTTTTCACCGATCTCTCTGGAACAAATTAAACACGAAAACCGAGGGGCCATTGTAATGCATAAAAACTATCATAAATCAGCCTATTACATTTAGTCTGAATATTCAAACTTTTTTCTATACTTATTGAATTTTTTAACCAAACACTTTTAATACAAGTGTTCACCATTTTATAATGCCATGATTCCATCATTTACCTGTTGATACATATGTTATTTTTGGTAATTCCTGCCTCATTATACATCACTACATTTCAATTCTTTTTATACAGGACATGAAGTGAACTATTCCTTATCTAATTTGGGGCGTAGTGTAAAAAAACTCATTAAAAAGAGGAAGTACAGTATAGTATACTAAAGAAAAAATAAGGTCAGATATCTGAATGCATTTTTAATGCAATCTGAATTCACTATAAAAAAAAACAAGAACTTTGACACTCTAAATGCAACAAATCTAATTCACTTTCTTCATATAGCTTTGTGTTATTCATAGCTTTATTTCCATTTTACTTTATATAGCTGAGTACAAATAGGAATCATGTCTGTCTGGCAATCAACAGATGGAGGATCGAACCTCCACCACGGCTTGCGCTGAATGACCCATATGGGCTTAGCGCTTAACATTAATTTTATAAAAAAAATCCATTTTACTATTCCACTTCCCCCCCCCCCCAAAATGCAAACATACCAAGAAAGAAAAAATGACATCTATGATTATAAAATTTTCACACCTTTTCACCTCTCGGAACACTCAAAACTCAAAACCCAGCTCTCACCCCATCATGTGTGAGTGTAATTGACCATACACCTGTGTCTGTAGCCATTTCATCTGGTTCATGAGCCATTATGTTCTCCAGTAATGTGGCTGCTCCTAAATCAAACAGTTGAAGACAGCCAGATCGTGTGCCAATTAGTGCATGGCGGTCACCAGGCACAACAATGAGGGAGACTGCATAGTCACATGGAACTGTTGTTATAGCTTGGGTGTCATTTCTGCATGAAAAAGAAAAATAATATACATATAAAAATCATTAAAAAAAACAATTTTTAACACACTGGTCATTTCCCACCGAGGTAGGGTGACCTGAAAAAGAAATTTTTTTACAATAATTCATCCAACTGTCTTGCCAGAGGCAATAACTATTAATGCATTGACTCACCTATGCCAGACTTTGAGAGAGTCAGCACTAGCAGTGATGACTTGGTCACTAAGAGAAGTGAATGCTATAGCCCTCACTTCAGTCCTATGACCTGGACGATCTAATATACTCAGCTGTTCAGAAGAAATTCCAATGCCAAAAAATTAGGGAAATCCAATTACTATAAACATTCAAGATAAGGAATAATAGGGAAAGGCAGGTGGCCAGTAATAATAATAGTGGTGAACAGAGATGAAATTGGTTTGCTGTGATTGGTGCAATATCAAACAATTCTGTAACCAACAGACTACATGTGGACCCTCGACATTCGATACTAATCCGTTCCTGAGAGCTATTGAATGTCGAAAATATCGAAAGTTGAATTAATTTTCCCCGTAAGAAATAATGGAAATCAAATTAATCCGTGCAAATCACCCAAAAGTATGAAAACAAAATTTTACCACATGAAATATTAAGTATAATGCAATAGAATAATTACAATAACAACAATAACAACAGATTAATAAAAACAGAATAATTGACACTTACCTTTAATGAAGATCTGGTGATGATTGATGGGATGGGAGGAGGGGAGAGTGTTGATGGTGTTAGTGTTTAGAATGGGAATCACCTTCCATTAGGACTTGAGGTAGCAAGTCCTTTTCCAGGGTTACTTCCCTTCTTCTTTTAATGCCACTAGGACCAGCTTGAGAGTCACTGGACTTCTGTCGCACAACATATCTGTCCAGAGAGGCCTGTATCTCTCGTTCCTTTATGACTTTCCTGAAGTGGTTCACAACATTGTCAGTGTAATAGTCACCAGCACGGCTTGCAATAGCTGTGTGAGGGTGATTTTCATCAAAAAAGGTTTGCACTTTAAGGCACATTGCACACATTTCCTTAATCTTTGAAGTAGGCAACTTCTTCAATTTCTCTCTCCCCTCCGAAGCAGTTTCCTCAGGTGTGGCCTCTTGCTGCTGAAGATGATCTAGCAGCTCATCAGTGGTTAGTTCATCATTGTCCTCCTCCACCAACTCTTCCACATCCTCCCCACTAACCTCCAACCCCAAGGACTTTCCCCAATTCGACAATGGATTCATCAACTGGCATAGGATTCTCAGGGTTAGCCTCAAACCCTTCAAAATCCCTTTTGTCTACACATTCTGGCCACAGTTTTTTCCAAGCAGAGTTCAAGGTCCTCTTAGTCACTTCCTCCCAAGCCTTACCTATAAGGTTTATACAACTGAGGATATTAAAGCGATCCTTCCAAAACTCTTTTAGAGTCAGTTGAGTTTCTGAGGTCACTACAAAGCATTTTTGAAACAGATTTTGTGTACAGTTCCTTGAAGTTGGAAATGACCTGCTGGTCCATGGGCTGCAGGAGAGGAGTGGTATTAGGAGGCAAAAACTTGACCTTAATGAAGCTCATGTCCCCAGAAAGTCGCTTTGCCAATTCTGTAGGATGACCAGGGGCACTGTCTAATACCAGGAGGCACTTAAGGTCTAATTTCTTTTCAATTAGGTAATTTTTCACATTGGGGGCAAATGCATGGTGCAACCAGTCATAGAAAAAGTCCCTAGTGACCTATGCCTTACTGTTTGCCCTCCACAGCACACAAATTAGCCTTGAGGATATTCTTTTGCCTGAATGCTCTGGGAGTTTCTGAGTGATACACCAATAAAGGCTTCACTTTGCAATCACCACTAGCATTGGCACACATCAGAAGAGTAAGCCTGTCTTTCATAGACTTATGTCCTGGGAGTGCCTTTTCCTCAATAGTAATGTAGGTCCTGCTTGGCAATTTCTTCCAAAACAGGCCTGTTTCATCACAATTAAACACTTGTTCAGGTTTCAATCCTTCAGCCTCTATGTACTCCTTGAATTCATGCACATATTTTTCAGCTGCTTAGTGGTCCGAACTGGCAGCCTCACCATGCCTTACCACACTGTGTATGTCACTGCAATTCTCAAATCTTTCAAACCAACCTTTGCTGGCCTTAAATTCATTCACATCAGCACTAGTTGCAGGCAATTTCTTTACCAAATCATCATGCAACTGCCTAGGCTTTTCACAAATAATCGCTTGAGAGATGCTATCTCCTGCCATCTGTTTTTCATTTATTTTTTTTTTTTTATTAACACATTGGCCGATTCCCACCAAGGCAGGGTGGCCCATAAAAGAAAAACTTTCACCATCATTCACTCCATCACTGTCTTGCCAGAAGGGTGCTTTACACTACAGTTTTTAAACTGCAACATTAACACCCCTCCTTCAGAGTGCAGGCACTGTACTTCCCATCTCCAGGACTCAAGTCCGGCCTGCCAGTTTCCCTGAATCCCTTCATAAATGTTACTTTGCTTATGCTCCAACAGCACGTCAAGTATTAAAAACCATTTGTCTCCATTCACTCCTATCAAACACGCTCACGCATGCCTGCTGGAAGTCCAAGCCCCTCGCACACAAAACATCCTTTACCCCCTCCCTCCAACCTTTCCTAGGCCGACCCCTACCCCGCCTTCCTTCCACTACAGACTGATACACTCTTGAAGTCATTCTGTTTCGCTCCATTCTCTCTACATGTCCAAACCACCTCAACAACCCTTCTTCAGCCCACTGGACAACAGTTTTGGCAATCCTGCACCTCCTCCTAACTTCCAAACTACGAATTCTCTGCATTATATTCACACCACACATTGCCCTCAGACGTAACATCTCCACTGCCTCCAGCCTTCTCCTTGCTGCAACATTCATCACCCATGCTTCACACCCATATAAGAGCATTGGTAAAACTATACTCTCATACATTCCCCTCTTTGCCTCCAAGGACAAAGTTCTTTGTCTCTACAGACTCCTAAGTGCACCACTCACCCTTTTCCCTTCATCAATTCTATGATTCACCTCATCTTTCACAGACCCATCCGCTGACACGTCCACTCCTAAATATCTGATTACATTCACCTCCTCCATACTCTCTCCCTCCAATCTGATATCTAATCTTTCATCACCTAATCTTTTTTTATCCTTAAACCTTATCTTTCCTGTATTCCTTTTAATTTTCCCTTCTTTTGCATACCCTACCAAATTCATCCACCACATCTGCAACTTCCTTCAAAATCTCCCAAGAGCAGTGTCATCAGCAAAGAGCAACTGTGACAACTCCCACTTATGTGTGTTTCTTTTATCTTTTAAGACCCCCCTCTTGCCAAGACCCCTCACATTCACTTCTCTTAAACCCATCTTTTTAATATTTTAAACAACACGGTGACATCACACATCCTTGTCTAAGGCCTACTTTTACTGGTAAATAATCTCCCTTTTTCCCTTTACATACTCTAATTTGAGCCTCACTATCCTCGAAAAAAACTCTTCACTGCTTTCAGTAACCTACCTCCTACACTATACACCTGCAACATCTGCCACATTGCCCCCCTATCCACCCTGTCATATGCCTTTCCCCAAATCCATTAAATGCCACAAAAACCTCTTTAGACTTATCTAAATACTGTTCACTTATATTTTTTCACTGTAAACACCTGGTCCACACACCCCCTACCTTTCCTAAAGCCTCCTTGTTCATTGCTATCCTATTCTCCATCTTACTCTTAATTCTTTCAATAATAACCCCTACCATACACTTTACCAGGTATACTCAACAGACTTATCCCCCTATAATTTTTGCACTCTCTTTTGTCCCCTTTGCCTTTATACAAAGGAACTATGCATGCTCTTGCCAATCCCTAGGGACCTACCTCTTCCATACATTTATTAAATAATAGCACCAACCACTCCAAAACTATATCCCCACCCGCTTTTAACCCTTTCAGGGTCCAAGGCCAAAATCTGAAGTCACGCACCAGTGTCCAAGAAATTTTGAAAAAAAAAAAAAATTATTTTTTCTTACAGAATTAAAGAGCATATTTTTGTGAAGGTAATAAAACAAAAAAAATTAGAATCTGATCAGTACTTACCGAGATACAGTGCCAAGAAGTTTGTAGAAAATGATGTGGTGGCGGCAACATCGACGAATTCCCACAACGCGTTTTATTATTTTTGTTTTTAGTTGTTTTTTCTTTTTTTTTCCAAATTTTTTTTATTCCTACTAACATTTGGGGCCTGAGAGCCCAAACTTTTTAAATAATGATTTTTTAAAACTCACTGTATTGAACAAAATAACCCACAAAGTTATTTCATTATTGTTTCCCACTGTTGTTTATTACATAAACATCCCAAAATATTGTAAAATACAAATGTTCTATATATTTACATTTTAAATCACGGGACATGGTTTTAGAACTGTGGGTTGTGGAACTCCTTGAAACAAGGGCCCACCATGACGGGGCCCCTTCATTCCCCACAAAAACCCGAGTGTCTTTGCGTCTTTGTTGCCGTCTTTTGTTGTGCACAACAATGCATCTCTTCTGGCAAATTTCTTTGATTTGGGAACCTGTATTATAAACGATCACCTTCTCTTCTCAAACGTTGGGTATTTTGGTTAAATTTCGGGCCATGTTGAAATTGCAGGTGTTTTTTACCTGGTACTTCATTTGAGTTGCTGAAACAGACAAACAAAATTCCCCATCGGTGGTCTTTCCAGTTTTTATTTGGTTATATTATATGCTTTCAGCATTAAAAATGCCAGAAGGGAAGAAAAGTTTTTTTTCCCCTTTAACTCTTCGAACACAGTAAAAACAAAAAAAAAACTGCATGTCACACTTGCAACCAAGCGCATGTTTTGTGAAAATCAACCCTGTCACTGGTTTCGAATGCGTTCATTAGTAACTCGATCAACTTTGCCCACTGTCTTCTTTCATTAGGGGAAATGGTTGTCAACAATGTGACATCTCGTTTGCAGCCCCTTAAATGCCATGATGTCTTTGGCAGAAAAACCCCTGCACGTCATCACCACGAACACCTCGTTGGCCTGGCATATTTTTACGTTAGAACGCACTGTGCCCAACATCTGCTTGTTCACTCGCATAAATCACTGGTAATGGGCTTGTTGTACCAGTTTCGGTATATAATGTAGGCCCTTACCAAGAAAAGGTGCCAATTTTTCCACTACGTCACCTGATTACCCCAATAACATTTGGTATCTTTCATGTTTTCTACCCGGTATAAACATACCACCCCGG